TCTTTCCACAAAAAAACATTGACTGTAATATGGTGGTATAATTAGTAGTTCCATTTAGGAGCCACTCCACTCCATCCTCTAGTTTATAAAGTGGCCACCATTGATCACAATATTTGATAAGGGTTCTTTTACTCTCTGTACCCTCTCACCCCACTATATCCCTCCAATGTGTTAGTACACATCCTAGGGGGCTTTTCCTTGGGATTTCTTTGCTTTGAACTTTTCCTATTGTAATCTACAGTGGTTAATATTCCACCGTTTTCCTAGAAGCTCTTTACTAGTCAATCCCAATCCCTCCAAAATCCACAATATATAGATCCACAAGTAAAATCAGACCACTGTAAATTAACTGCCTGTAGACAATTACACTGAGGACATTTACACCTGATGAGCTGATAATATGCCTAGGCAAATTTTGTTCCCTTAAACATACACCTCAATGGCAGTTCTTATATTTTCATATTTACATATTAACATAGGTATAAAAGAACACTTTAACAAAAATGCCCGGGCTTTTATATATACAATATACAATGTACAGTTATTATTCCAGTTAGAATTATTCCTCAGCAGCTGGAAACGTTATGCCAGTTGCCATTAAAGCTCGCTTACCCCCCTCCTGTCTCTTTCTTAAAATCTCGGACGTCCCCGGAGTTAATGGGGACAGCCACATATTCCTAGTCACTGGTCCCTGAACGCTAGAGTCAGAGTCGCTATCAGAGTCTCCCTGGGGTTGCGGATTAGGAAGCCTGGGAGTCGGAGGGGCTGCAGGTGGGGGTGGTGGAATATAGGGAGGCTGTGGGGCTGGGATCTCTCATTCTCGGTTTTTCTTGCGCCTCCCATCCCCTCCTTTTTCTTTTAGAGGGTATAAATTGGCTCAAGTTTCCGAGCAGATCCACAAATGTGCATATTCACTTTCTTCCAAACTAAAAGGTTCCTTTGAGTTTACATAAATATTTAGGGCCTGGCAAACCCAATCTTCAAAGGACCCAAATACGGGCCAGTAAAGGTGGTCTCCTCGAATCTGTTTACCACCCCAAACTTCAACACAATAATGTATCATTTTTACTTTATTCCTTCCCCGCCTACAAGGGGAATCCTCCCAATTTTTAATCATTAATCCCGGGGTAACCTAACATCAGACGTTACCCCACCCATGGGACCAGAAGGCTTACTCTTCTTCTGTCCCATCTTCTGGAGCGCCTTCACACACACACGCACAAATCGCTTCCCCCTTTTCGTGGCCTAGTCCCTCACGGGATGTGGGAACCGCACTACCGAGGGGTACACACTTGCTTCGTCCTGCTGGACATCTCACAGCGACATGCTCCAGGATACCCAACCACAACCGAACAGATCACCAGCCTATACTTACTCACTCCTGAGTCTTCGTTCGGTCTTCGTGCACAAAGATTACTAGGGGTTGCCGGCTTTATTTGCTTGCTGCCGAATTTAGGGTTCGTCGGTGAAGGATTTGAATGAAAGTAGGCCTAGTGAAGGCCGCTGAAAACAGCGGGGCGCCCCCTCCGAAGGTCTTTCAATCAGATTGCCTTCATCCGAGTCAAGGCACCAAATTTGTTATAAGTTGCCCCCTTAATTAATTTTCAGAGAGCATTGCATTAGTAATAGAAAGGAATTTATTGAGTAAGCAACAGCAAGCAAAACAGCGCTGGGCGGCCGGGGAGTGTCGGCTCCGCCAACGGCGCGCACCTCACCCCCGCCAAGGTCCCTTTTTATATCTTGGTAATTCCGGGATTACGCAGCACGTCCGGGTATGTTCTGCGACTGCGCGCACTGTTGCTAGGGGGTCATCTCTGTCCCTCTGGTGGTCGTGAAGATGAAGGCCGTAGTCTTCCTCGGCGTTGTGGTTCAACTTCTTTTTTTATTTGGTCATGTTGGCCCAGCGTGAGACAGGAAGGCAGGATGTTGATACACTAGTTTAGCAACTTATCAGGAGATGGCTACACGAGCTTTGCAGCAGGGTCTTTGAACAAAAGGGGCAACTGAGATGCAGAAGGAGAGAAGGGGAGGGGGTTCTCTTTTTTGTTACATTAAGCAAAAGAATTTTCAAGGTGTCTAGCCAAGTATTATACAGCTCCTTACTTCAGCAGGGAGCTTTTGGAACTCCCGCTCCTCAAACGGAACTCCTTGTTTTTATAATACAAAAGACAATGAGCAAACATTTATTGTGTATTACAAGTGGTATAAAAGGGCCCTGTTTTTTACCCAGAAGGAAGCTCCCAGAAGGGCTGGGGACGGAAGGGACCTCTGGAGGTCATCTGCTCCAACCCCCTGCTGAAGCAGGGCCACCTAGAGCTGTCCGGCCGCTGGGCACCGCTCACAAGAGCCTGGCTCCGTCTTCTTTGCATCCTCCCTTTGGTGATGTCTAGACACTGCTACGATCCCGCCGAGCCTTCTCTCCTCCAGGATGAATGCACGGTGACGCACAATGCAATTGCTCACTGCCCACTGAGTGATGATGCCCAGACAGACCCCACGTGGTGGTAGCCACACTCTGGCCAACCCGCTCAGTCCCAGTCTTCAGCACGACCCCATAGGGTATGGGACATGGCTCTGGCCAGTTTGGGCCAGCTGTCCTGTCTGCGTCCCCTCCCAGCTCCTGGTGCACCCGCAGCCTCCTGGCTGGCAGGGCGGTGTGGGCAGCTGGAACAGCTTTGGCACTGTGACAACTAAAAGGTCGGCGTGTTGTCAGCATCACTGTCATCCGAAAACCAGACCCCAGCTCCATACTAGTCACTGGGAATAAAATTATCCCAGCTATATCTAGGACTGATTGTTACCGATTTCCTTTTGTGCCAAATCTATTTCTTATGAGTTCTTGCATGTTTCTGGTCCCATGTTAAGATCACTTGGTACTTTTCCTGCTACAATATGATGGCAACTTACTTCACTTAGCGAGAATGCACTGCATGCATAGTCTGTGTTATTTATGGTTGGATTGTTGTTTGTTTTTTTTTTTTCATTTTCTTCTTACTTGATTTTGGTTGAGTAGATTCATGAGATCCAGTTACCATTAAAGAAAAAAAACAACAAAACAATAAAACTCTCCAAACACGTTTTATTTTGTGAGAGCCAAGGCTGCACAACATCTTGTGGGCCATCAGTTGTTACCTATGTGAGGGCAGTTAAGAGGAATTTAAAAACTTCAGGGTGTGTGATAACATTGCCTGCATTCTCAGTGAAAAAATGTGCTAGCAGTTTCTTTCTTTGGATAAATATGCTGCTTTTATTACAGGAGATTATTTTCTGTTTAAAGAGTATGGTCAGTAAACTGATGATATGTCTTCCTTCAATAAAGGAAGCAGCCAAGCCGTAAAATCTACATATCTGTTATATCCAAATGCCTCATTTTTAACTATTGTCTTGACAGAATCTTCACCAAAGTACCATGATCCATTACCGTGATCCATATTTACATGACAAATGAGACATAAACAAGTAAAGTTTGTGGTTTTGAGTCAAATAAGCTGCTGTATGTACTTGCTGACTACAGACGGGTCAGTGTTTTCCACTTCTCACTGCAATGTCGTCCCTCCTCACCTATTGTACTAGCTTTGACACTCATGACGTTGTGTTGAACGTGCTCAGTGTGCTAACTCAGAAGAAAGCCATTCTGCCAGCTGAGTGAGTTGAATTGGCTGAACAGAAAAGTAGTGAGCATGGGGGGCAGATTGACTGTGCAATGGAAAAGTGCCGTATCAGCTCAGCCTGCCTCATCCAGTCTGTTTGTCAGGGTCTTGTCAAAAAGTCAGTGGCAGAGCACAGCCTGTGCCGATGTTCTTCTGCTACTTTTTGTACTGTTAAATGTTTCTGTTTTCTTGTAAATGGCTGTGTATTGTTTCTTACATTTAGAGCAGTTCAGTTTGTAGTTACATGTAGATATTTTGTACCAGAAGAACGTTTTGCCTTTAAAATTGCCTTAATACTGAAAAGAGTGATTGTCTAGTTACAAGAGTTAAAAAACAATATTATAACAACAAACAGAGACAAGTAAGCACATCATCATTCAGACTGATTATAATAACAACCAAACAAGAAAATTATTTATATATCCAACTTTTTTTTTTTTGATGATGCAAAGGAAGTTAGTTGATTCATTGTACTGGCAGATTAAATTCTGACCACTGAAGTAATTACTGTCTGCAGTTTTCTCCACTGTCCCTGTCTTGAACGTTTGTGAAGCAGGGATGACTGAAGCGTATGTGGAGCTGCAATCAAGTGACATCTTTTAGTCATCCATGCAGCAGAACCAGCCACCCTTATAAAAACGGGCATGCCATAAGCATTTCAGCTTACATGGTTCAAGAGTGAATGACCAAATTTCAGATCATCATAAAGTTCTGAAGAGGTTATTTGAAAATGAGCTCCAATTGACTATTACTCCCTGTATTCTCAAAGTTAGGAAAACAGCAAAGGTGGAGCTGCTTAAATGAAACATACAGAACCCTTTGTTAGCAAAAATCAACGCAGTGGCAGAAGCGTTGTAAAAATACCATAGAATTTTTATCTTATTTAAGTGGTACCATTTTGAATGGGAATTTAATGTAAGCAGTAGTACTGAAGGCGTGGTTTCTCCTAGTGGAAGCTGTGGTTCTATAAGAGGATTTCCTTGTTAACCTGTACTGGTATTATGCTGGCAAGCCTTTCCTGTTTTAACTGGAGATCTGCACTCTTAGAAATACCAGAAAGAATGCATGTTGTACAGAGAGGAGTCACTGGGTACATCTGAAAGCTGCATCCAAACATGTGCAGTCTACTTGTATACACAGCCATTGAAACTGAAACAGAATACACTTGGGATTTTTAAAATTAACTATTTGAGTATTCTTACAGTTCATCGTGTTTGACTCTGAGTGATATAATAGTGTTTAGAGGTTAACTAATGCTTTTGATTTGTCAGAATTTTATAGGCGCCTGATATTAAATGCAGTTGGATGATACAGATTTTTAAGTGAATATTCTTTTTTTTTTTTTTCCAGTAATATTCAACACATGAGGAAACAGTTTGATGCACTAGGTCTGTCTTTTACATGGGAAAGGGTAAGATTTTCTTTTTTAAAGGATGCTGTCTTGTTTTATTGTCTGATGGAATGTTGAAAAACACAGAATTTTCCCATTTTATACCTGACATCATAGACGTCTTTCAAAGTCACCAGTTTAGGTTGTTAAACTGTAAAATTACACTTTTAAAAGTGGTAAATAGAGCTTCTCTGAAGCTTCTTGCTGAACTTCTTTCATTTCTGACTTACTGTTAATCTTAAAGTTTGTGAGAATCTTTTTATTTTCTTTAAAGTAATTTCAGTTTTGCACTTGGATTTTTCTCTCTGGTTTTTCAGTGCTTTCAAAGTAGCAATTTTCTATGTTAGAATTTAGGTGATAGTCTAAACAGATATAAACAGTATAAGCATACTTTTCTGTTAAGGTATATATATCTATTGAGGAGTGCTTTTTTTCAGTGTATGTATTTTTATAATATAGTCAAGGATTTAAAACTACAGATGTTGGTTTAGTTATGTTACTCTAAATTTGAAGGACAAGTCTGCCTTTTCATAGTTGTTCTTCTGACCACTTTGGAAATGAGAAATTTGGTTTGACATACTAATGCTTGAGAATCAGATGTTCACCTTAAAAACCTTACCAACACAGTCAGACATAACCTAATCTCATCTTCAAGATAAAAATGAAAGAAATTAATTTCTGAAACAGTTGTGGAGTTATTGCATTAACTGGTAAATCAACCTCAGTCACTAACTTCATATTCTTGGTAATAATCGTTACTTATCACTTTAATATGATTCTGAATAGACTGATGGAGATACTAATCTTGGATTTTTATAGCAGTATTGTAGGTCTGAAAAGGAAAAGAGGATTAATTTTCAGTCTAAGGTCTGCCATCTGTTTTTGTTAATCTTGAAGGTGAAATTGTATATTTGTGTGCCTTGCATCTAAAAAATATACTTTGTCATTTCTTATATGTGGCAAGATTTTAAGTAACATCCTTCTTTAGATTTTAGTTTTCTTGATAGCTGAAAAGTTGCTATGAAAATAAAAAGTTTACTGTGGAAGATTCACTGCACACATTCTTGACAACTATTTTCTTATATTTAAAATATTTGTATTTCACAGGTTTTCTGTATGTGTAGTACAGCAGTAGCACAAAACAGGGAAATTGTATGTGCAGTCAGTACTATGGAACACACAAGAATTGAATGTTCTAGAGTGCCTCCTAAGAAAACTGAGAAAATTTATCTGTGAATATGGACTTTTGGTTAACCTGTATATTCTGAAGAAGAGAGACAGAGAACTGGCAGTACTGAAAAGCATGACAGAAGGTATAAATATGCAGGGAAAAGAAATTGGTCATCCTTGTGCCTGTTCTTTAAGGCTTACCTTCGCTTTTCTAGTAAACTGTATTTTAGTTAAAGAATTTTCAGAAGTCTCTGAATATATTTAGAAAGGGCTTTGATAATGTACGACTAAGTTCATTTGAACAGTTGTGTAATTAAAATAATTTAGAAAGCTCCAGAGGCACACAGTCTATGCTTTCGAAAGGTGAGTTTTTAAAACAGATGAAATGAGTTCCTTGAAACACAATGAATTTTGGAGTTTTCACTCCTTAACTTATTAGTTAAGTTCTATTTTACCTAGAAAGCTTACCTTATTAACTGCAGTAATGAAGAGTAAACAGACCCAAACAGTAACCATTAAAAATAGAGGTATGTTTAATCAATGCAAAAAATGTATGTTACCTGAAATATATCTGTAAAACATTATTACATTAAATACACAGATATTTGAGCTAGATGAAAGAAGTACCTTTGGAAACTGAATGGCTAAGTTACAGCAGTGCATCTGCCAGGCTGCTAAAGCCTGCTTCTCTGCAAGGCTAATTGGGCTGAGCAGAGCATCTTAACTGTCTCAGCTGTATTGCTTCTGGGCTAACTCAAGCATCTTTGCACAGCAGTGCCCTGTGCTGTGCAGATGCTTATCTTAAAAGCAAATTCTTTGAGGTAAGGATTTTTTTTTATCATTATTCTACACTTGTATGGCGCTAGATCAGTGGCTTACAAAATACGGTGACATTGCAAACAAACCAACTAGTGTTAGTGACTCCTATGAAAAATGATAGGAAAACACCTTTTGTATGTGTTAGTCCAATTAACAGAGAGTTGTAGAAAACAGGAGTCTGTTTTTAATTTAATCACACTGGTGTTGTTTCAGCATGGTAGAGCATTGTACCTAGCAAATACGTGCTGGAGGGAACCCATTCTCCTACCTTTAGGTCTCTGTTGTAGTGTGGGGTGAATTGCCTTTGCAAGGTGCTAGCCTTTTATATTAACTGCCAAAGAATCCTCCATGTCCACCCTACATAACGTGAGGAAAACCTAAGTATTGCCTTTTTGTGACTGTTAAGAGAGGAAAAAAAAAGAGGGGGGGAATAATGAAAAGTGCATTTTTTGAATACTTAGTGCATGGAGCTGTGCTGAGGAAGCTGACTGCTTATAAAGTTGTGTTGGTGTTCACGAAGGTCCTGTTCAGGAATGTGAAGACTAGTTTTAATTTTATTGTTTGGTAAAATTATTATGAACAAGTCCCAGTGCACCTGGCTAATAGAAGTTTCTTTTTATGAATCCATTTTTCATTGTTCTCTGTCTTAAAAATACGTTTTCATTTTGATTTGTATGCCGTAGCAGTAGGTGAAATTACTTAACCAGTAAAGCACAACAAACACGGCATTATTAAAAGCTAATGAGATTATTTCAGAAAGCCAGGTTACAAAGACACTTGAAAATTATTCTGCTAAACAGAAAATGTAAGCAAACTGAAAATGTAATTAAATGCATAAAAAAGCTCTGTAAGTACTTTGTTTCGAGTAGGCTTGAATACTAATAATGATCTTTTTTTTTCCTGAAACATGCAGATATTTTCAGTGTGTCAAATAGTAAATGTTTGAAAACATTGTGATTCTGAGGAGATCTTTGAAAAAAAATGCTAAATAAGAGACAGGATTTCTATGCTGAAACTGCAGATGTAGGGTTAAAAAGGTTCAGTCTGAGGATGGAAAAAAAGTCTTTGAGACACATTAAAAACACGTGTACAATAAATATATATATATATATATATATATATATATTTGTTTTTAAATTAGCAGTAATTTGGGATTCCCTGGTGGTCAGGTTTCTCCAGAATAGCATCCCAGGCAGCACAGCAGACTGCCTGTCACTTCTAAACTTCTTTTTTAGGAGAATTATTATGTATAGTTTTAGAAGATTCTCATTGTCAGCAAGAAGGGATGCATAACTTCCCCTTCCTTTTGCTCAGGAGTGCTATCAGACTGAATGCATCTTCCCACTAATTCACCAGTTTACCACTGTATTACCGAACTAACTTCCTTCTAAAAGGTAGCTCGTACCGCCAACAATTTTCAGTCTTTTCAATTCGTGCACTCCAAATGACATTTTGGAATAAGATTAATGTTCCCCTTCTGCACTGAACATTAAAAAGATGAAATCTTTGGTAAATGCTATTTGTTCAGACATTTTTCTGTTTTGTTTTGAAGTTGTCATTCTTGTGCACTGCCTGGGCATGCATAAAATTGTATAACAGGTAGAGCATTATATATTAAATTTTCTTCTTATGCACCTGTCAGTGATAATCAGTCACCCTACTGGTAATTGAATAAAAAAGGAAACCATTGATATAAGGCTACTTCTTGGCAGGAAAGATACTTGTGCTCTAAAATGTAAGCACAGCTTGAAGTTTGTAGCTAACAATGCATGAAACTAAAGCCCTTCAAAATACAAATATTCAAATGAATTTAGAAATCTAGTTCAGTCTAGCTCTAAACCTCCAAAAATCAAATAATTATACTTCCATGTGAGGCGATACATGCCCTTTAATACCAAAATAGATGAATAATAGTTTAAAGTCTGTTTAATCTTCCAAGAAAGATCTTGAAAAAATCTGTTCAGACTTTTCCTTCTTACTGTCTTTTTAATAAGTATGAAGTATAACATGGCTGCCTTCACTATAGCGTAAGACAGCTAGAAAGAAAATGATTAGTAATAAACTAGGAAATTACTTCTGTCTAGTTAGGTGTTACTCATGGCACCTGGTGGATTTTACAGCAAATAAAGACTTTTATACCACCTGTAAATATTACTTATATTAAAAAAAAATAATAGTAGTGGAAGTTGCTTGAAGATGCAACCCTTTTCTTTAGAAAACAAAACAAAACAAAACAACTTTTAGCTAAGTTGTAAGAACTTAGCACATTTAGAACAAATAATGAATTATAAAATAAGGCATTTGAAAAGTTTTACTAATGACCAAAATCTCCTCTCCAGGACTATTTTTGTTTATCCAGGGTTCTTTGCTGTTGGTTTTCCCATTTTTTTGGCAGTCAAAGGTTTGTATCAGATTTTTCACGATTGCTCTTTTGGCCTTAACACAAACCAGTTGCTTGCCAAGTTTCACTACTATCAAGTCTAAATTAAATTGTAAGACAGGTATTTAATCTGTAAATGAGAGTTTAATTGGGAGAAAAAAAAAAGGAAAAAGAAAAAAAAAAAAAGCTTTTGTTGTGCCTGGTACCAGCTTGTAACATATTTCATATTTGTAAGAAGGGTTCTGTGTTTTAGTACATATTTTGAGGACATGCTAATATCCTGTTTATATATATATTCACTGAACTGCTTTATGGTATGGGACTACGTATGTGTGCTGCTATGGTAGTGCTCAGATCACAAATGAGAAGCAGAAAGTTAAGTTTTTAGAAGGCTGAAAGGATCCTGTCATGCTATTTTGCAAACCCTTTTTTATGAAACCCTTTTTATGTATTTCTGAATTAAGTCAGCTCTGTTAATGCATTGCAAATGTTTGTCATGCTCATGAAGCATAAATAGAAACTTTAGCAGTCACCTTAATTTAAACGTGATGGCAACCAACTGGAAGCTTTTTACCAGGCATAATTTGTTTAATCACAATCAGTAACTGGAAAAATATCTTTCACTGTACGTATTAATGTGATAACTACAGGGGGGGAGAAAAAAACACGTTTGTAGACTGTCAACAGGTTGCTAGCTTGTCGTCATCAGCAGTCACATAAATTCTTGCTCATTTTGCTTGGTAGTGATGTGATTGCTCTTTCTTAACCATCATACATTTCATCAAACCTTCATGGTTGTAAAGTTAAATAAATTATGAGCTTGAAAGATCTTTTTGTAGTTCAGTGACCAGACTGCAGATTTTCTTCGGTGATCTATTTCTGCCGCATCTCTTTCTAAAAAGCACATCAATTTACAGCTTGTGAGAGTGTCTGCATGAGGTTGTGTTCCCAGGACTTAGTACCACAGCCTGAGCGTGCCTGTTTAGATGGAGAAATGCCCTCTCTTTTTGTTTCAGTTAACATACATCTGCCAGTCGGGACCAAAAGGGCAAATCTCACTCCATTTCCCTGTTTTTATTTGACTTCTCACTTTAGTTCTCTGTTTATCTGTTGCTCACGTTACCTTATGCTGTACTAAAAGGGACGGTCTCTGTGCTTTTGTGTCTCTGATATTACAGTGATGCAACTCCAGTGCCTGTAGTGGCATCACGCTGGCAGAACTGATGTCACTGTTGTGGAGGCAATATATATATGCATGTTTATGCATGTATATGTGTGTTTGTGTGTATGTAGATATAAGAAAGCAGATTTCTTAGTGTATTTCTTTCTTTTTTTTTTTTTTTTTTTTCAGTACAGAGAACAGGCTTTAATCAAGCAACTGCTTTTCATGGCTAAGCCTTCACATGCTGTGCTGCAAACTTGCCGTTAAATGTCTCTGGTCTTGAAAGCCTCTTGTACTCACTTTTGAGGCATAGCTATTCAAAGGTCACATTAATTGTTCAAAGCAACATTTCAGCTCTGGAATATAAAGCTGTAGAAAAAGCGTAAAATTTTTATAGTAGGGTGCTTCAGGTGACATCAGCAACATCCTCTGCGGCTCAAGTGATGTGTGCTGCAGGAGCTGCAGTGGGAAGCTTAGATGACAGGAGAGCCAGGGTGAAAGACATTGCAAAATTTGGAGCTATTTAAGGTACTTGATAAATGTATTCAGTTTACGAATAGTTATCAAAGGCTTACTGACAACCCTGTAACTCGGAAAGCAAGATGTATGCTTGATGGTTTAAGGTTCAGTGTGGGAGTCAGCTTCGACTTCAGTAAGCAGAAGTGAGTCAGTTTGTAGAAATATTTCTTCGTTAAACAAGTACAAGTTAAAAAGGAAAGCTGTTGACAGGGAAAATGTGATTTGTTTATTGTTACATATTTATGAGGTAATTAGAACTTAAGTACTGAATTAAACAGTTGTTTTCACTTTGGCCAAACTTTCAAATATGTGGGCGAAAGCGTATGTGTATCCATTGCGCCTGTAAAACACGGCGCTTGTGTGGAGAAAATTGAGAGTCGGGAATCACATCGTACTTTAGTCATCTGTACATAGCCATGTTTATTTGAAATGCAGTTTGTTTGTTTGAGAACAAATATTTTAAAACATGAAACTTTATAAGCAACTGATAAGTTACGGTGTTTTTTTTTAGTTTTTAGAGTTCACTAAAAACTTTTTAAATGTTGTCAAGTTTTTAAAAAAATGCCATCTATGATATTTTCACATGCTGTTGCCTCAACTCCCATTCCTCTTTTTTCTTTGTCTTTTATTTTTATCTGTCTTTATTTCCCTCTTAACAATCTCCCACACTTGTGACTTCTTTCTTTACTTTCTGGCCCTTTCCTCCTAACTTCAGCCTGGAGCACTTTCCTACCTTGAGCTAGCTTGCCTTTTAAAACGGGCATTTATTTGGTCATTTATTTGCCCCCTCCTTGTGAGATACCCTTGCCATGCTTTCACCTTGAAGTTCAGAGGCACTGATATTACAGGGTTCTTTTATTCCCTATTAACAGAAAAACTTTGCTTTGCAATGTCCAACCTGCACAAAGCCCATGGTCTCTGTTTTTGTGTACAGGTGAATATCACTCATTATGAAATTACCCCAAAACACCTGTTTTCTCTGTGGCATATATTACACACTTCTGAGTTAATTGTGTATGTTAAAATGCTGTAAGAAGATACTAAGAATAGCTTCAGGTATTTTTATTTTATTTCATTTCTACAGGAAATAACCACTTGTCTACCAGAGTACTACAAATGGACACAGTATCTCTTTCTTAAGCTTTTTGAAGCTGGGATAGTGTATCAAAAAGAGGTAGGTACAAGCTTTGATCTATAATACCTTGCACTTCACTAACTCAAGTCACTTATGGCATAGGTAGCCCATTTCTGGATAATCACTTTACATTCATTAAGTGCCTAGATATTGATGATGCTCTGCTTGGTTTTAAATTACTTCAAAATACAATTAATTCTATATATAACTGAATTTTATATATAACTGATATGGATGGGTATTTCAGCATGGCAAACTAGAAATGTTTGTTGTTGGTGACTTACATTGAAGTGCAGGATCAGAACATAGCTACTGTTAGTTTATTTCATGGCTTTAGCATAGAATCTTCTAGGACTTAACTTTCCTCTTGTGAAGATGTAAAAGATAATGTGATCATGAAGAGTCTCTTCAGCAGCGAGATTATTTGAGTGTATTATATTACTGTGATGCTGTCTCAGAACTGATAGAATTGGATAGGATAATTGGAGATTATGTGCCTAACTATCCAGTTCCTGGACCCTGTTTGTGATCTGTAAAATATTACAGAAATCTTAGATGCTGTAAGACTATCACAGCTCTTTTTCAGTTAGCAGTATAATAAGAAACTCTTGACTTTATAATATTTTGTAAAAACATATGAGGCTATATGAAAAGGGAAGGGTTTGGTTAACTTCTTAAGCAGGAGGTGAAGCAAAGGTGTTAAATTAGCATTCCAAAAAAACTCTCTGCATACCCATGGCAACTCAGTTCCTAAGTACCTGAACAGCTGCACCTAAACAAAGCTGCAATTCAGTAAATGTTCCTAACTGAAAAGGGAAACAAAGATTTCCTAAATGTGCTTTGAAGTTTCAATTGTATTCTGTAGAAAACCAGAAAACCCCATAGGATGTAATTATGGATGTAACCTAATTATTCTCTGAACCCAGAGAAAAGAGGTTGATGGTGAAAGGTAGCATTTGGAAAGGCAGGGTGCTATTGAGCTACTTTTCCTGTTTCCATAGGCAAGATATATTCAGAGATCCTAAGTGACAGCCAGCAAAAAGACTGAATATTTCCTAACATGCTCTTTTTGGTTCTGTTTTTTTTTTTCTTTGTTTCTTTGTTTTGTGTTGTTGTTGTTCTGTAATCATTTTCCTTTTTTGTGATCAAATATTTAACCGCTAACTTTTCCATAACAAACTTATTTTTATCTGTAGCTTTTTTTCTTTGAATAATTTGAGGTGAGTCTGAAAAGCACAAGGCTTGCAGCTTCTTTAGTAGGTATAGAAAACAAATTCTGCATGCAGACTCCTCATTTTTGTGGAATCTTGTAGGTGTTTGGGTACCAGTGACTGGATGTGGTATCTCTTAAAAGCCAGCAATCAGTTTGAGAACTGAAATCAGCATCTGTAAACCTGTAGGGAATGTAATCTCTAGTGAATATAAACCAGTTGCTTTTTGACAGGAAACAGATGGCAGTGATATACCCCATAACCCTGGGTCTCTTCAAGCTGTCACATATACTTAAAGCATACGTTTATCCCATGTCTTCCACATACCCGCAATGTACATTAAGTGGTACTTTTACACTGCTTGAAGTCTCCTCTATTACAATTTCATTTTGGGTACAAGGAGATAATTCATAGCCTTACTGTGGAGATAAAAATGATTCATATAGACCATTAGTGTAGTTAACGCTGTTCCGGGAGTATGTGTTTTTGATGAGAAATCACCCTGGTAGGGAGACACAGGTTCAGTATGTCTGGGAGTGGGACTTAGTGGGAGTTAACCATGTCTGTCTGGATGCTGCAGCTTCGGCAGACGGCGTGTCTTAATTCACCATTGGAAAATTCTCTCTGTTCTTCCTGCAATCGAGATATGTCAATAGACTCTAGAGATTATTGATCTGGCCAGATGTGGGTGTCTCATTTCATTTGAGATGAATTGCTGTCTAGACTCTAATGATTATTTTGATTAGATATCTGCAGACTGTGGAAACCAAACCTGGAGATAGATATTTATGCTACAAACGTCTGAGGTTAGATGAGATTCATCCTCCCTTAAAAGCATATGGCCATCATTGGTGTAGGGAGCAGATTTAAATAACTCCTGTAGGATATACACGTTTACACCGTGCTCTCTGTATAGGTGAAATTTAGTTGCTTTCTGAGGCTATAGTTGCAGAGGCTGTCATTTTCAAGAAGTTTCCTCTGTAAAGTACAAGTAGGATCTAAGGATTTAACTTAATATCCGGGTTCTGGATATTAGTTAGAAGGCTGCAAGAGACAAAAGGAACAAAATGCAACTCTAAAAATTCACAGACAAGACCTTTCATCGATGGATTCCTTGCATGTGTATTTGCTTTATGCTTTGCATCATCTATCTAGATAAATTTTCCTGCTATGAATCATGAGAATATGTTATGCTAAATAATTATTCTTGTATAAATCAGTTCAATTACTTTCCAAAATTTTCATCATAAATTTGCCCCAGTATCATAAAAACAGAAACAGTATTTTTTCTCAAATTTGATTCATAGCCAATTTAATACAAGCATATGTTAATACTGCCTCATGAAACTGACATTTTATTACTTCTTGATATTACATGATTTATAGTTCTTTAGATGTTACTTTAACTTTGTCATAGTGTGATTATTTTTTTCAAAACTTTATAAATGAAAAGATCATTACTTTAAAGCCAACTTCATAATGTCTTGCATCATTACTGAAAAAGGTGTGTGTTCTGAAGTACAGAAATCAGGTCTGTAGTAGTGGAATATACTGATCACTTTTTATTTTCTAATGAGTGTTCAGAAGGCTGTTATAGAAACCAGTGTCATGTTATTGGTAGGAAACAGATGGTAGGTAGCCAAACTGTATAAAATTCAAATGCCAATGATGTACCGAATTCACAAAAGCTTCATTTGAAAATAATTCTGTTTTTAATCAGGAAATGACTTCGATCCATTTCATCATAATAAATTTTGTGTAGGTAATCAGACTGTGCATGCACACACACAAATAACATACACTGATAACAAAAACAACAGTATTTCAAAGGAAGGAGATCCGTGCATCTGTCTTTTTTTCTGTCCTCACTACAAGGTTTGTAAAATGACTGTGATATTTACTGTTTCCAAGAATTCATAGCATACTTAAAATTAAGCAATATCAGTTGTTTGGAAATGGACATTTGAGAAGGTTATCAATGATAGATGAAAAGTGAGTAATATGAGGACAGCGATTATTCTTAAAATGAGATAGTAAGTTCTCCCAATACCCAAAGAATGTATTTCAAATTTTTCAATAACATTTAATGTATTTTAGTGCTGTGGAGCTGGAGCTGATGTTTGTTATTCAAGCTGATTTAACTTTGATTTAGCTCAAATACTAAATAACACTCAAATAAATGCGAAGCATTGCTCTTCTTCATTGCTTGTTTCTGTTCATTTTTTCAAGTTAGTGTCTATCTTGGATGCCACTTCTGGAATGACTGTTGCACTGCTTTTAGGAATCTTTTGTGGTCTTACATCCTTTCTGATAAATGGTCAACTAAATTTTTCAATACTGTGTGGGGGCAAGTTGTGCTTTTCTCCCTCCCCCGCCATGTGTGTCTGGTATTTCAGTTAGCCCTCAAAAATACAGTGTTTGTAGAGTTAAATGCCAACATTTATTTTACTTTAAATTTTCTTTAATATATTTGTATTGATAACTGGTAGGAAAGATGATTCCAAAAGTAATTCACGCAGTTGACAAGATATATGCAGAAAATGACAAGTCTTTCACTTTAATATAACACTTTTATGAGACTCTGTCTTCTCAGGTTGTATATCCTCAATCATCCATCCCCTTCAGTCTTACTCTCAACACTTTTGGATTATTGCTGGACAACTTTTAAGCATCAGACTATGTAGTTTGCAGTACTGCAAATTGGAACACTTACCCATCAATCATGACAAATGCTGCCAACAGCTTTTTTTGTTGTTGTTTTTTTTTGAGTTCTGAGAAGAACATTCAAAACATCTTCAGTTGAGTCCATATTGTTGATTAAAATGGATATTATCCAAAAGTAGAAGATGGGCCCAAGAAATGTTTCTGGATAATTCTTCTGGTATCTAAAATGTAAGATCCTGGTTTTGAAATAGCTGCTTAAAATACTTTTTTTTTTTTTTCCTGATTTTTTTTTAGGCCTTGGTCAATTGGGATCCAGTGGATCAAACCGTTCTAGCAAATGAGCAGGTGGATGACAATGGTTGTTCATGGCGTTCAGGAGCAAAAGTGGAACAGAAGTACCTCAAACAGTGGTTTATCAAAACTACTGCTTATGCAAAGGTATGAGGATACGTTTCAGAAATTGTGGTATCATATAAAGGAAGCAACTCTTCTAGAAATAGTCATCAAGCTGAATGTGGTCTTCTATATGCACATGTTTATGTAATATATACTTATATAATGATCTACGTGATCTGTCCCTGTTCTGTGTATGTATATAAAAATGATTATCCTTGAAGTCTTTCTGTTCATTTCTTTAAAAAATTCTAAGTAATTGATATGAGATTAAGTTATGAAGAAATTGAAAAGTATAAATTAGAGGTAAATTAATGTATCTTGCATTCATACATTGTTATTCTACATTTAACATCAGGTGTTTATCTGCCTCATATTTAGAGTGTACAGCTGTGCAGTGTTTTGAACTAGTAACTAGCCAGTGTAGTTATTAACCCATTGGACCTATGCTCATGGAATGAGCAGTGGAGTGCAGCCTGTCACTTAGAGTTTATTTCAACATGTGTTGAAATAAGCTGGTCTGAACCAGTTGTTAATTATAATTAACAGCTCTTTGTTGAAGATTCATCTGGACCTTCTGTTTTACTTTCCTTCCTATTCCACTCTATTTGATTATCTGTAATTTAAAAAATATTTTCAAGTTCTTTAAGCATCTTTTTTTGTTGTTCTTATGAATTCAAATTTTGATTGCGATCAGACAATATAGCTTCCACACCTAGGAATTCTTCTACAAAATTTTGCTGGCTTTATACTCCCTGAAATGAAAATGTCAGCTTCCTGTCCGGGGTGGATGCAGGCCTTATTCCATCCAAATACTCTATATATTGGGACTTCAAGTACAGATTGAGAAAGTTATTCCCAAGAAAATGTTAAAAAGTCATCCTTGACCCTTATTCTGAGCCTCAGATTCAAGAGACCAAATTTCCACCATCATGCAGGTAGAAGGCATCTAGATCTCACTTTGGGTCCATTCAAAATGAAGAGACAAAACTTTGATTTTCTGCCTAATCCTTGGATTCTGTATGTGTAGATGATAGTCAAGATGCACATTTTCTGATTGTACTGCTGTTCTTACTGGCAGTAAGGAGGAAACATTTGCTGTAGCTGAAGGAAAAACTGAACATGTCTGCACAATCACATTATGATCCCAAGATCCTGAGCTCTTTATTAGTGCACCAAATTACTGTTTGCTTATTTCCTCATGAGAGGGGTGAAGTGGATCGGCTTTAAAACAGCTACTCTTAAAAAAAAAAAAAAAATAGTAGAGGAGCTTTTCATTAACCTTGAAACTGAAACCTTTCAGTAACCTTGGAACACCCTTGGCTTACAGGATTATTACCTCTTGCTCAATATCCACCCTCCTCTAGGGAGAAGGATTTATCTTTTGTCTTTAGTCTTTGACCCAAGAAATGACATTACAGGAAAGCATAAGCTCTGGGGATGATCGGGTCTCCCAGATCTCATTCTCCAATAAGCAGGCTTAACTGAAGCCAGGAAGGACCTTGTACATCCACAACCCCTTACCTCCACCCAGGAAGATGTCACCTCAGGTAACTACTGTATGCCCTACCTAGGAAAAGGTAGGGGGATATGATGTAAAAGTGTAGACATTGCTCCTTAACATCTCAGTGGCATCATGAGTGAGAGCTTCTTCTACTTTCTATTTGGGGACAAGTGTTTATATCAATCTCTGCCAAACCTTTAAGTGTTACTACAGGGGACAGTGGGTACTCTACAGATTTCTATAAAGCTTTCCCAAAAGTTTGTTCTGCGCTTGATTGATATTCTGTAGGTCTATGTTAGCTCATACAACCAAGTTGATGAATGATGCCATATTGCTCCCAGCTCAAGTGCTTTGGCAAGCATTGCCTTCATGTGCTCCCACTTCTTGGTACAATGACAGATGCTACCAGTTATCAGCAGGTGGTTTGGATTTTCCTTTTCAGTCAGCCTCCACTGACTCCCATTTTTTGATGTGGTTCTGGCACATTTTAAACAGTCTCACTCTGCTTCTTTTGGCAAGAGTTTTAAACATTTGGTTGTAGAAGGGGAAAAAGACTTTTTTTTTTTTTTCAAAACTTCGAATAAGAATAGGAGACTGTCAGGCTCTGCTATTATAAATCCAATATCTGATATTACATGGATTTATCAGTTTGGAAGAGTAAGATAAATTCCATTTTTTTGGTATTTATTTTTTTCTTTCAAGTCACAAGTGACTAGGTAATACGCTTGTTGTGTCTTACCTTCTGAAGAACTGTTTTGGCCATACAGCTCCAAATGGCTCGTGAACTGCAAGCTGCAACTGAAGATTGCCGATCTGAGGGAGACTGTCTCTGAAATAACAATAGCAAAATATTTCAGTCCCTTAGAGGCTGTGTGCCCACACTGACATCATCGGGAAGCTTCACAATAGCATCTTGAGAGAAGCCACATTACTGGTCTTAAATGCTACGAGTTCAGTTCCTCTGTCTGAATATCTTGATTAATTATCTCCAAAACTCAAAATTTCATGCATTTCTTTATTCCTTACAGTAGTTATTCGAGGTACTTTTCAACAGGTGGTAAGAGATATGTCTTTTCTTCCAAACCTGTTTCTTGTTTGGATTCAGACTGTTGACAGTTGATGTGAATCTGTATCATCCTAAATAGCACAGTGTTGAACAGCATGGTTACAGCAATCATCCTTCCTGTTCCTCAGCCCTTCTTCCCCAGCTCTTTTCAAAAGCCCTTTCCAGGAGACTTGGCTTTATCGAGAGCAAGAAGTTCATTCAGCTTTCGCATTCACAGAGCCTTTCATCTTGGAGTGGAGGGCCTGGATTTTATAGGGCTGGTCCTAATTGGTGTGTTAGGTAAAGATACCTCTTTGACTTCTAAGCTAAACATCTTTAACCACCAATATGATTTTAGGATGACAACATTAGTGGTGATAATACCTTCACTTCAGCAGGGGGCATTATTTCATACTGCTTGGTCCTGAACACACTTATTTCTGTAAAAAGATTTGCCTGCCTTATATCATGGACCATAAACATTACCAATACAACTCCCATTTCTTGGAAATTTTTGCTGTTCAGAGACTCTGGGTATTTGTGCTCCTAATGGTAAATAAGTACAACAGATAATTTTTTATCCTTACCTGGCAGTTAATCAATGAACATACCTCTCTAAAAGAATACCTGCTTCTTTATAGTTATAACAGAATCATAGAATCATTAAGGTAGGAAAAGACCTCCAAGATCATATCACTTCCCTTTTTTCCTTCAGCTGTTTGGGGCTCACAATTAATATGTGCATAGTGCCTTCTCTACAGTTATTTTCAGGCACCTAAAGTGAGCCTTCGTAGTCCAGCATACTAGAGTAGCACAAAGCACTTTTACTTATGGTACTTCGTATGTCAGGCCCCTGTAAATGGGAAGTCTGAGAGGACATTATAAAGTTTGTCCTTGATGGGACTGGGCATTCCCTATGATCAACTTTTTTTGACTTAAAGATGAAGAAAGGGGCTCAGCCTTCCAAGACTTGTGTGGACCTGAGATTTTCATTCCTCATTCCTGTTCCAGTTGCTTGGTGTCATCTGTCCAGTTTTGCTTCTTTTGCTTCTTTTGCAGTTGTTCAGAGAGCGAAAGCCAGATAGCACCAGATTTGTGAGGTCAAAATGATTCCAAAGACCAACAATGATCCAAAGACCTACATTTTCTACCAGTAAAGTAGTCCTTAGGTCTTTGAGGCATACTGCCAGAATTTGTATCAGAACCCACCTGCCCTCTCTTTCCTGTATCTCACAGCTTGGACAAGTTTATTAGCACAGAGCAGATTTATTTATTCCTTGTGTAAGGCTTGTTCTTACAAGCTTTGGGAAAAGCTAGTGGTGAAGTGCAAGTGGATCAGACTTTCTGTGTTGTATGGCTAGATTTCTGTTATTCACTAAGTTTCACTACGTTTTATTCTGAAAAAAAATGGGAGGCACAAAGAGATTATCTGGTAGTAATTTCATCCTTGCACCTTTGCTGGAAGATTTATACTTTTTCCCTCTTTGGTTACTTTTGAAGGATTAATAATTTTAGAATATGCTCTACTTCTCCCCTTCCTCTTTGCACAGTGGGGCCCTAATCTGTTTTTTGGTATCTTATGGGAAAGCCATTTGACTCTGGTCACCTTTTGCTTGCACATTCAATGGCAACTGTTACTTTCTTCTGAAAAGTATACAGGGAAGGTGAAGCTTTCTGGCTTTTTGTCTTGTATTTCTGTTCTTTTTCTGCAGCAAGGCTCTCTACAAATCCCATATTCCTTACTGAGTTTTCTCTAAGTTAACACAGTGGGACGATATGTTGAAAAATGCTTTATTTCTAGTAAGTAACACCTTACCTGCGTGGCTCAGAGGAAAATGCAAGTCCCTTTTTTATAACCGTTTTTATAGATTGGGATCCATTTAAAATATATTTAATGAATCTGTCATCCCTTAATTCTTCATGCAAAATACCAGCTAGCAATAATAGTTGCATTATATGTATGCATACAATTTGTTTTCTACTTGAAGCATCCACAAATTACCTTAACTATACAATCTCTTTATACTACATATTGATGATCTTTCTAGTCATCTGTTTCTCGTTCACCCTTTTATCTGTTTCTGTTATCTTCTGTACCTCACAACCTCAATAAAAAATAACTACTAGCAAGCATAATCCTCGTCTGCTTGCTTAATGTGCTAGTCAGATAGCAACAAGGAGCTACATGATCAGTAATGGGCTATGAAGTCATCTTGTGTGCTTACAGGAGTCCGTGTTTAATTCATATGCACACTTTATTCTTTAGGTTTCCAGAGGAATCATCTTCTGTGGATTTACTCTGAATCCTTTATTGTTACTACACCTGCTCACAGTTCTTTTTTGAAATATAAAATGCAAACAAAGCAATGTTTGCTCATATGACAGTTTACCATTGGCAATGTATTTTTTTCAAGGGGTAGAAATATTGACCATGTATTAAATAATTAACAGGAAAGTATTTTGGGTATCTGAATAATCATGACCCATTTTTAAACT